GAGGAAGAGGTGGGGTTTAGGGCCAGTGTAGGTACGGAAGAGGGATTGTTCCACGTAACCTACAAAGAGGCAGGCATAGCTTGGGCCCATGCAGGTACCCATGGCCACCCCCTTTGTCTGTAGGAAGTGGGAGGAATTGAAAGAGAAGTTGTTGAGGGTGAGGACGAGTTCGGCTAAGCGGATGATAGTGTCAGTGGAGGGGGACTAGTCAGGCCTGCGGGACAGGAAGAAGCGGAGGGCCTTTAGGCCATCTGTATGGGGAATGCAGGTGCATAGGGACTGGACGTCCATGGTAAAGATGAGGTGTTGGGGACCGGGGAATTGGAAGTTCTGGAGGAGGTGGAGGCGTGGGTGGTGTCACAGACGTAGGTAGTGTGTTCCTGGACCAAGGGGGAGAAAATGGAGTCCAGATAGATGGACATAAGTTCGGTGGGGCAGGAGCAGGCAGAGACAATGGGTCGACCAGGGCAGTCAGGTTTGTGGATTTTGGGAAGGAGATAGAAGCGGGCAGTGCGGGGTTGGGGAACAATGAGGTTGGAGATCACCAGAGGTGATGATCCAGGTGAACCACCTAGAAACCGATATCCATTTCAAGCCCACCGACTCCCACAGCTACCTAGAATACACCTCCTCCCTCCCACCCACCTTCCTGCAAAAATGCCATCCCCTATTCCCAATTCCTTCACCTCCGCCGCATCTGCTCCCAGGATGGGGCATTCCACTCCCGTACATCTCAGTTGTCCTCGTTTTTCAAGGAGCACAACTTCCCCCCCCCTCAGTGGTCGAGAACGCCCTCGACCGTGTCTCCCGCATTTCCCGCAACTCATCCCTCACACCCCGTCCCCGCACTAACAACCAATAAAGAATCCCCCTCGTCCTCACGTACCACTCCACCAACCTCCGGATCCAACGCAGTATCCTCCGACACTTCCGCCATCTGCAATCCGACCCCAGCACCAAAGACATTTTTCCCTCCCCACCCTTATCTGCTTTCCGTAGGGACCACTCTCTCCGTGACTCCCTTGTCCGCTCCACACTCCCCTCCAGCCCCACCACACCCGGCACTTTTCCCTGCAACCACAGGAAGTGCTACACCTGCCCCCACACCTCCTCCCTCACCTCCATCCCAGGCCCCAAGACGACTTTCCACATCAAGCAGATGTTCACCTGCACATCTGCTAATGTGGTACACTGCATCTGCTGTACCCGTTGTGGCCTCCTCTACATCGGGGAAACCAAGCAGAGGCTTGGGGACCGCTTTCCAGAACACCTACGCTCGGTTGGCAAGAAACAACTGCACCACCCAGTCGTGAACCATTTCAACTCCCCTTCCCATTCCTCAGACGACATGTCCATCCTGGGCCTCCTGCAGTGCCACAACAATGACACCCAAAGGTTGCAGGAACAGCAACTCATATTCCGCTTGGGAACCCTGCAGCCCAATGGTATCAATGTGGAGTTCACAAGCTTCAAAATCTCCCCTCCCACAAACGCATCCCAAAACCAGCCCAGCTCGTCCCCGCCTCCCTAACCTGTTCTTCCTCCCACCTATCCCCTCCTCCCACCTCAAGCCGCACCCCCATTTCCTACCTACTAACCTCATCCCGCCCCTTTGACCAGTCCGTCCTCCCTGGACTGACCTATCTCCTCCCTACCTCCCCACCCTACACTCACCTTTACTGGCTCCATCCCCGCCTCTTTGGCCTGTCTGTTTCCTCTCCACCTATCTTCTCCTCTATCCATCTTCTATCCGCCTCCCCCTCTCTCCCTATATTTCAGAACCCCCTTTCCCTCCCCCATTTCTGGTGAAGGGTCTCGGCCCGAAACGTCAGCCTTCCTGCTCCTGCGATGCTGCTTGGCCTGCTGTGTTCTACACCTTGTTATCTCAGATTTTCCAGCATCTGCAGTTCCTACTATCTCGGATACAATTTTAATCCCTCAATCATCACTTTCTGCTTCCTGCCAGCTAATTGTAGATCCCAAATTACCAAATTTCTTTGGATCCTATCTGCTGTTACCTTCGCCAGCAATCTCCCATGCGGGTCCTCAAAAGCCATGCTGAGATCCAAGTAGTCTACATACTTGGTCACATCTTCAGGAAAAAAAAAATTCAATGAAAAATCGGTCAGACATGACCTCCCCTTAACAAAACCATGCTGACTGCTCTTGATAAAATTCCTACTTCTTCAAATTTAGATATATTCTGTCCATCAGAATTGTTTCCAATAGTTTCCCCACCACTGAAGTTAGAGTAACCAGCCCCTAAGTTTCCTAGTTTCTCCCTTGCTCCCTTCTTGATGAACAGTACCATAGTGGCTGTCCTCCAATCCACTGGCATCTCTCCCATGGCCAGAGAAGAATTTAAAACTATTACCAGCACCCTGTTATTCCCTCCATTACCTAACTCAACAACCTGGGATACATTTTAACTGGCCTCAGAGATTTATCTGCTTTTAAGCCTGCCAGACTACTTAGAACTTTCTCTCTGTCTATGTTAATTTCTTTAAATATATCGCAGTAGTTCTCCCCAGTTTCTATATCCACATCGTCCCTCTTATTAGTGACACAGTATTCATTTAGAGCCCTACCTACATCCTCTGGCTCTAAGCACAAATTACCACTGTGGTCCTTAATTGACCCTACTCTTTCCCTTTTTATGCTTTGACTCAATGTACCAAAAAATTCAAGATTTTTCTTTATTTTACCTGCCAGTATCCTTTCATGTCTCTTTTTAGCTCTTCCAATCGCCTTTTTAGAAGTTCCCTCCTGTACATTCTATAATCCTCTAGGGCTTTTGCTGCTTCAAGCCCTCAGTATCTGCCATAAGCCTCCCACTGTCTCTTAATCCAATGTTGTATATCCCTTGACATCCAGTGTTCACAGGATTTGTGGCCCTGCTCTCTCTTTATTGGAAGAAATTGGCTTCTGTTCTGAGAAAGATTTACCTGGAAGTATCTGATGCAGTCCACTTTGGCAAAATTATGTCTGATTATTAAAATCAGCCTTTTCCATGGCTTAGAACTTTGATTTCAGGCCTACCCCTGCCCTCTTCCCGAATTCAACAGTTCTTATCGCTGTGTACAAAGTTCTTCCTCATTGATATTTCAACTACTTGCCCAGCTTTGTTACCTGAAATTAAGTCTAGGACCGCTTCCTCCCTTCTAATAATGTCTTTTTTCAAAAGCCTCCACGCAAGGAGGAAGACAGGGCCTCAGCTTAACAATTCATCTAAAAAAAACCAACTCCTTCAGGGCAGCATTTCCTCAGTTGGACTTTATACTTGGATCTCAGGATGCAGCTTAAACATAACCATCTGACTCAGGCAAGGGTGCTGGTGCTGAGCTAGGGCTGATATTGGTGGCTATGTCCAAGCCAATTTATTTAAAGGAATCTGTCCCTACTTAACACTAAACACAGTTAAATGTCAAAAAGTGAGCACAATCATGTTCATTAAATCTCTCAGAATTACTTCAACAAAGCAAAAGGCACGAAATGAGGGGCACACAGTTCATGTATTTACTGTCAAACAAGCCTTTAACAGGGTACCAGATGAGAATGTCAGAGAAGTTAAATGGGTATGAAATTCAAGGATTACGCACATGGTTAGAGAAAAGATGGGAGGAGATTAAGTCAGTTTTAGAGTGGTGCTCTAAACAGTTCAATTTTGGGATTCTTTTGGATAATGAGAGAGCATATGGAGAAATTCTAACATTGTAGTGACCACACTTGCAAGCATGGCCTTAAGGTTTTGCTTAAGCAAGGAGACAGAATGCTACCAATTGTTAAATTGTGCTTCCTTCTCCATAAAAACAGCAAGATTAATCTTGAAAAGGTTGACATTCCTAACTTTCTCTTCCTTCTTTCACTCAAAAATGAATTGGGCTCACCACTAGAATGTAAAGTGCAACGAAATTTGAGAAAACTTTTGACATTCAGTTGGAAGCTCCATAAAATCCACAATGTAAACTTCAGGAAGCCCTTTAAAATATACCTGTACAATTACATCTCAGTCATGCTCCAACATAACCAGTTTTCAGATCAGCACTTATTAGAACACATACAATATACATAGTTGCAGATTTCAACTTACCACAGGTGGTCCATTTACAGGATCCATGCACACAGCTGAACCAGGGGGACAGATAACCCCTGGGACAGGATTCAGTGGTTGGCAAAGGTTGACGTAAAAATCAGGAGAGTCATTTTGACTATCATCAGCAATATCTTCATCTTCTGCAGAATAGTACCCAGTCTTCTGGATCAAAGGACTCAAATCAATAATCGAGCTTCCATTCTTCACCGAACATCTCACCTAGCCAACAAACCAGAAAGGACAAGGAAAACGACAACCAAGTTACTTTGTAATAGCAAAGAAAACATTGCTAATTTATTTAGTGGATAGGTAACCGTCTCTGCGTATCTAAACACACTTAAGTGAAAAATTCATCCAAGTTAACAATTAGAGAAATTAAAGGAAAGCCTGAAAGAGAGTAGGGCTGAGAAAAACTTAAATTTACTGTGAACAATTAAATAGAAATACGTGCAGTTTCCAAGGTTACAGGGTTTTAAAGAGTCTGAAAAACTTTACCTCATGTTCACAGGCCAGCTGCGTATGCCAAGAAAAATAATGAGTGCATGTCTGCTCATCTGAAGCCACCAGAACAGGTCCAGTACCTGCTCCTGCAAGTGTGCCACAGACAAAACTGAAGATGCTTCTATGACGCAGGTTAGAGTTGCTGGAGCAGATATCACCCTCACTATATGTGAGCCTCAACACCTGATCTATATAAGTCACTTCTGTATTGAAACGGCCTGCATTGATTGCATGATCTCCTTGAATACACACACCTGCAAAAGGACACAAACATTACTTTTCAAATGAAATATCAAATCTCAAAAGTTTCCAAATGAGTTAACTACCATCATTGTGCAATATTCATTGCATTTGTTTAAAGTGTTGAGAATGATACCTGCATTGTTCAATACACCAGATCAGATGGTCATAACGACATCATCAGTTGTCTGCACTTTGGAAACTTTGACCACTTTATATATTAAAATCACTTTACCCAGCACTCTTATCAGTGAGGCAGACAAAGGGGCACAATTCAGTTTGCAGTTCAACTCCATTTTATTAATAAAAATATTCCTTATTAAAAAATACTATTTAAGGATTTCTCAAATTCCCACAATGTTTACTCCTCATCTAGTTCTATCCGTCTGAGAAAGGATGGCCCCTGCGAGAATCCAAGCATTTGATCTGGACTATGGTCATCTCCTTTGTCCCCGATTTAGTGCTACCTCTCTTTACACAGGTGGGTCTTGTGGGTCAGGGCGGACCTTCTCTTTCCAACTGGTCAGAGCTCCACTGCTGGACCAGATCAAGTCTTTGCTGCATCTTCATCAAGAGGGTGCGTTTTTATCTCCTCTTGCACCAAACATTCCAGAATGGTCTGCGGCATTTCACGAATGGGGTCATGAGCTGGATTCAAATCATCCAGTGGGGTCTCACGAACACCCTTCACTGTCGCCATGCTAGGGAGTGTAAAGTGCATGTACTCAAAGTATGATCAACACTTCTCCAATATACAACCCTCAGGCTAGTTGTAACTGGTTCCCCTTGAACCTTTGCAACCTCTTTGTCCTTGATTTCCACTGCTCTCTATAGCTGGCATGTTGTCCAATTTAGGTTGGCCAATTTTCTGTTGGGCCTGATTTCTCCAGCTATGGGTCAATTTAGAAAGTTCCATTTTGGGCCTGTGATCACTTGACCACAGAGTCTTAGAAGAAGTGAACATCTATGCACAGGGCAGAAGGGTGAACAACTGCTTCGACTTGGACCAAGAGAATGTACATGATGGACGTGCCTCAAAATGAACTTTTAGGGAGAAAATGAACAAGTGGATCCAGATTTTTAAGCAAAATTAAGTCTGTGCGATTAAAGAGCCAATTGCAGCATGGAAATGGAATCAGCTAAGGGACACAAAGCAGACAGTAACAGAGTACTTAGTTTTTCAGATGCAGGGGAGAATTCCCCAGGATTGTGGAATCAGTTTTTGGACTGCTGTTCTTCTGAGAGATATTATATAAAATATATATTCATTCTTCAAAATCACAAACTTCAGAATGCACTGCATCATTTTATGTTGCATATGACAAAACTTCAACGTAGTAAGCACCAGAGAACAATTAAAATCCCTAGCTGTATACAGAAAAGACCAATAAAGCTAAAGTAAATGGAATCAAAAGCAAGTTATTGACCTGGTTAGGAAATTGAATGAGTGGAAGGTGGTAGCACAGGAATACTGAACAGGTCACAACGCAAAGGCTCACAGAGATTGGTTTTGGGTCCTCAACTGCTCACTATATTCATTAATGACTCAGATGGTGCAATAGAAAGCCACATATTAAAATCTGGCAAGGGTAAAGGGAGACAACACTACAGTGGAATGGCAGCATAAGACGAAATAGGCAAAACTGTGGCAAATGGATTTCAACGTAGACTAGCGTATACTTTGGACCCAAGTAGAATAGAACAGGTTATTTTCTAAATGGTAATGCTAGAAACAAAACACAAGCAAAGACATTTGAGAATCCTGGCATACAAATCATTAAAATATAAACAGAAAAAGCAAAGGCCAAATGGATTGCTGGCCTTTCCAGCTAGAGTTTTAAAACACAAGGGTCGAGGCAGTACTTCACTTCATCTTTATAAAGTTGGATCACATTTGCCATTCTGGATCCCATTCAGGAATGGGATAGTGACACTGTAGAGTGCAGCATAGGTTTAACAGAACTATACCTGAATTCCAATTTTTGGTGGTGGTGGCAGTGGTGGGGTGTGGGGTGGAGAGGAGAAGAGTAGAGAGATGAGAAATACAGTCAAGTATCAAGTTATTGTGGGGAACAGATACATTAGATAAAGATAAACTACTTGGAGGATCTAGGCCCATGGTCTAAAAATTAGAGTCAGTCAGTCATTTCAGGAGTGAAATTAGGAAAAACGTCTACACAGATAGTGAATGATGACAGAATTGTTCATCAGTAAACAAACAATGGATGTTAGGTTAATTGCTCCGAGATTGATAGACATTCATTAATAAAGTATAAGGCATATAGAACAGTGGCCATTGGAGTTTGGTCACAGATAAACCTTAATCACATTGAAAAGTTAAATCGACTGAAGGATCTATTTGGTCTACTTGATCTTCAAGGATGGCAGGTCGAGTTGACCTGACAGAAGATAGCAGATTTGATAAAGAGAGATAGCCAGAAGTAATTTTGTGAAGATGAAGCAAGCGTTGATAAGAAAATGGAAATTTGTAACAAGAAAAAACCTTATGATAAATGTTATCCATTTTCCTGTATGCCTCAGAAACCTGGATAATTAAAAGAAAGCTGGAAAAGAAAACTGAGGCGTTTGAAATGTGGCTGCTAATACAGGCTAAAAATTCTGTATATAAATCTTAAGATAAACTGAGGGGTACTGTAAATTGCAAGATCAAAAAAGGATTCCAAAAAAACTTGAATCTAGAAAAGAAAATGTCAGTATTTTGGCCATTTAAGTCAGAGCTGAAAAGCTAAAGAGATCTCTTCTTGAAGGCAAAGAAGATGGCAGCTAAAAGACAGGTTGGTTTAGGTGTAGCAGGATGATAGTCACCATAGTAGTTGCAGATGAACCACAAAGTTGTGAAGATGATACAAGACGGAAAAAAATGGACCATACCATGACAGCAAATCTCCTGGTAGGAGTAGTTCCAAAGAACAATACGGCGTTGATTAGAGTAAATAAGTAGAAATCATTGTAATTGACCCGTCAATGCTAAGTCATAAATTTAAGTGGCTCAAGACAGCAACTCACCACCACCCTCTTTAGGGAAATTATGGGTTGGTAATAAATGCTGGCTTAGCCAATGATGCCAACATCCTGCAAGTGAATTGAAAAAAGTCAATTGGGAAAAGAACCAGAGGCGGCATAAGGAAACATTAAGATTATGACCTGTAACAACTTGTATGAAAGGAAAGTGAACGGATATTAAATCATTTCAGAACTGAATTGGGTAAAAGATGGAAGCGATCAAGTTTACACGGCCACAGGGGAAGTACAGATAAGCAGTATTCATTGGATAGCTTGACTAAAGAACACCAGTGGCAAAATGTGCCACTTGGCCTCCATGTATGGCTACCATAACAATGACGAGCATGAATACAGACAACTGATCTTGAACTGGGCCTCACCAGTAACACAGGCTTAAAATAACTTCCTTAACTTTCTAAAGGGAGCACCTTGAATTAAAATTGAATCACCCACTCCCCTGCCACCCAATTCAAAAAGGATTATTTCATTTTGGTAAAGTCAAGTCTCCATTCTCTATTTAAATGGGAGGATAATTAAAAACTACAGTATGTTAACTTTCATTCTAACCAAAAACATGGATTCCAAACATACGGCATTACAGATGTAGACTGACATAAAGAGTAATAAAGGATACCTATGTAACAACTTCCAACAGCCTAAAGCACCACACAGGAGCATCACTAACTAAAATACGACACTAAGCTACCTAAAGGACCTATTAATTCAGATGAACAAAGCTTAGACAATGAGTAGGTTTTAAATGAGTGCCCTTAAGGAAACTCGGTGCCCAGGCAAGGCCATGGAACAATTCAATAAACAAACACAAGAATTCTGATGCCAATATAACTGCTATTACTTCAGTGCCCATTCAATACATACCAACGTCATCTCCTGAACATCCAGTATTTTGCACCTTATCACAAATATTAAGGCGAACAAAGTTTCTTCTGATTTTACGGTCATATATAGTATAGCCTTGATCGGTTCGTAGTGAATTCAGGTCAAATAAATGGCCTGGATACAAAAATGCAACATTAGAAACATAGCGTAATTTAGAACAAATTCACGCCCAAATCTTCAGTTATACTAAAGTACAATATTTTAATTTGCTAAGAAAATTAATTCACAAATGCCACTGAGGAAGATAAATCTACACGGCATGGTGGCTCGCGGTTAGCACTACTGCCTCACAGCGCCAGGGATCGATTCCACACTCCAGCGACTGTCTGTGTGGAGTTTGCACATTCTCCCCGTGTCTGTGCGGGTTTCCTCCAGGTGCTCCGGTTTCCTCCCACAGTCCAAAGATGTGCAGGGTAGGTGGATTAGCTATGCTAAATTGGCTGCAGCGTTCAGGGATGTTTAGGTTAGGTGGGTTAGACATGGGGAAATACTGAGGTAGGGAAATGAGTCAGGGTGGGATGCTCTTCGGAGGGGCAGTGTGACTTGTTGGGCTGAATGGCCTGTTTCCACACTGTAGGGATTCTATGAATTCTATCCTATGAAAAAAGTTATCAATAAAGGAAAAATGCTGAACATAAAACAGTAGATGCTGAAGTTAGCTGAAACCCTGCAACCCACTTTACTATAGCCTTTTATTATTTGATGGATGATATCTGGCTAAACAGATATCTATTATTCAAGTAGGACCCTTCTTTGAAAAAAAATTATGAATGTTTAAAACCAGAAACAAAAACAAAATGCAGGAAATACCCAGCAAGCCAGACCCCATGTGTAGTGAAAACATGCGTTAAAATTGCAAATGTGGATCAAGTTCTGATGAAAAGTGCATATGTGACACGTCAACTCATCTGTTCTCTCCGCAAATGACATTTCATTTGTTGCCGATTGTGTTTTGGACAATGCAAATTCATAGATCATAGAATCCCTACAGTGTGGAAACAGGCCCTTTGGCTCAACAAGTCCACACCGAACTTCAGAACATCCCACCCAGACCCATCCCCCTATAACCCATCTAATCTACACATCCCTGAACATTGTGGGCAATTTAGCATGGCCAGTCCACCTACCTTGCACATCTTTGGACGGTGGGAGGAAACCAGAGCACCCGGAAGAAACTCACGCAGACGTGGGGAGAATGTGCAAACTCCACACAGACAAACAAACAGTCACCCGAGGGCAGAATCGAACCCGGGTTTCTTGGCGCTGTGAGGCAGCAGGGCTAACCACTGAACCACCATGCCACCCAAAACTGAATTCAAATTCCACAATCTGCCACGGCAGGATTTTGAATCTGCATCCTCAGAACATTACCTCAGTGTACAGTCCAGTGATGGTACCATTAGGCCATAATCTCCCCGTTATTCTGATTTAGCCTGTATGCTATGTAGGAACAAAAATGGTTTCTTCAGGGATGAAACAGGTTTGCTTTCCTGTCAATAATTTTTTGTCTTTTCTAGACCTTTTAATACATTTTTCCATTTCAGATAACCTCTTCTAAATACTCATTAGTCGAGTTCAGTGTGGGAGTTTACTGCTTTAGGGTGTGAAGCAAAATTAATTAAATGATTAATAAAAGACTAGCAACTTGAAAAGTGGTGCTACCATAAAATTCATATTACTGACCTGTAATCGGATTTGTCACAACACACTCATTGTGTACATTCTTGGTTACTGGGCAAGCGAAAGCTGTGAACCACAAAAACGTGTACTCACAACCTTCAATGGCTGTGATCAAGTCTGGCTTTGTGTTCTATAGAATGATAGATAATTGAAAAGGTTTATCATCTTACAATTATATTATCATCTTGCATTATCTCATAATAAGAGCACTCTTGGAGCAGTAGCAGCAGGAGCAGAAACTAGAAACCTGAAATAAAACCAAAGAATACTGGAGACACCCAGGTGCTCAGTTCTAGTGAAAGGTCAACTTGAAATGTTACCTCTCTTTCCTCGATGTTGTCTGACCTGCTGAGATTTTCCAGCATTCTCCTATAATTTCAGATTTCTAGCCTTTGCAAACAATGTTAGCACTTATGTTGATGACCTTTCACCTGAATTCTTTAGCACTTTTTTTGAACATTAGCTTTTGTCAAATTCAATGACAAATCTTCAGTGTGCACCTGTACACTTGACACAAGGATATTTAATGACATTTATGATAATATATGAGCCAGGTCTTTTAAGGGAAGATTCCATCCAAATACATTGCAAACCAGACGACAGTGCTTTTCAATTATACTAGACAAAACATATTCTAAACAAATCTGATGCAAAAAAAAATCACGAGTAACCAGCTTGCCCATGACAATTATCTGGCCACATATTTGATGCATTTACCTTATTCACCATCTCCACGTCTGACTCATTCTATGACAGCTCTGAACTTTAGTACTTAATTGATCAGACTTAGAATTACCTAGCATAATTATCCTAATCTGTGCTGTCTTCAGTTGCACTGAATATATAAGCAGGCAGCCTCTGCTCTTCAACTCATGTAACACAACACGCAGGCATGTGGCAGATTGGATTCAGAATTGGCTGACCCTTAGAAGACAAGAGTGGTAGTGGACGGAAAACATTCAACATGGTGCTCAGTTACGAGTGGTGTACTACAAGGATCTGTTCTGGGTCCTCTTCTATTTGTGATTTTTGTAAATGATTTGGATGTAGGAGTGGAAGGGTGGATTAGCAAGTTCGGGGACAATACGAAGGTGGGTCACGTTGTGGACAGCGCGGAGGGCTGTTCTAGGTTACAAAGGGGCATTGATAGAATGCAGAGCTGGGCTGAGAAGTGGCAGGTGGAGTTTAACCCTGAAAAGTGTGAGGTGATTCATTTTGGAAGGACAAACTTGAAAGCAGAATACAGGGTTAACGGAAAGATTCTTGGCAGTGTGGAGGAGCAGAGGGATCTTGGGGTTCATGTTCACAGTTCCCTGAAAGCTGCCACCCAGATGGATAGAGTTGTTAAGGCGGCGTATGGTGTGTTAGCTTTCATTAATAGAGGGATTGAGTTCAAGAGCCGTGAAGTTATGCTCCAGCTATACAAAAGCCTGGTTCGGCCACATCTGGAGTATTGTGTCCAGTTCAGGTCACCTCATTACAGGAAAGATGTGGAAGCGTTGGAAAAGGTGCAGAGGAGATTTACCAGGATGTTGCCTGGAATGGAGGGAAGGTCTTAGGAGGAAAGGTTGAGAGCGCTAGGGCTTTTCTCTTTAGAACGACGAGGTGTATAAAATGATCAGAGGTATAGATAGAGTAGACAGCCAGAGACTTTTTCCTAGGGTGCAGGTAGCTTTTACGAGGGGACATAGTTTTAAAGTGAAAGGAGGTAGATATCGGGGAGACGTCAGAGGTAGGTTCTTTACTCAGAGTGTGGTAGGGGCATGGAATGCATTGCCGGAGTGGGTAGTCGAGTCAGCCTCTTTAGGGGCATTTAAGCGGCTATTAGATAGGCATATGGATGATAGTATAAGGTAGCGGTGAAGGTTAGGTAGACCTTAGGTTTAGGGTAAAAGTTCGGCACAACATCGTGGGCCGAAGGGCCTGTACTGTGCTGTACTGTTCTATGCTCTAGGTTCTATGTTCTATAAATATTTCAGCTACATGGCATTTTAAGTCTGCTCTAAATATGTCATTTGATCTTTTTTCTTTTATATTGATGAAATTAGACACGTTGTCAAAGTTTTTTTTGTCTTGCACTGAAGACGAATGCCAATATTTCGAACAATCACAACAATTAAACCACTGGAGAAAAGAAATAATGAATGGTTGACAAGGCAACTAATTATTGGCTGAGGCCAATGGAAACTGAGAAATCAATAGGCTTCCACGGTTTTCGTTAATTCAAAATAAGATGCAACACTTGAACATTTTCTTCTGCTTTGTAGTGAACAGGAGCCGGCATGTTATTGCATGTCTCTTCCACAGGCTAAAGATGTGCAGCCTAGGTGGACTGGCCATGCCAATCAGGGATATGTAGATTAGGTGGGTTATAGGGGAATGGGTCTGGGTGGGATGCTCCAAGGGTTGGTGCGGACTTGTTGGGCCGAAAGGCCTGTTTCCACACTGTAGGGATTCTATGATCTAGTTGGTGAAAGTATGCCACTTTATGAACTTGAATGATTATCTTAAATTACTTGTTAGTGTAGCTATTAGCACATTTGATTATTCAGGGAGTGCTGCCCAATTGCAGAATCATATCTAACAGGAGATAGTAGGAACTGCAGATGCTGGAGAATCTGAGATAACAAGGTGTAGAGCTGGATGAACACAGCAGGCCAAGCAGCATCAGAGGAGCAGGAAGGCTGACGTTTTGGGCCTAGACCCTTCTTCAGAAATGGGGGAGGGGAAG